GAATTAGCCCAAGCCACAATGGCATCACATCAGAAAAGAAGACAGGAAAATCAGACTTTATTATCGGTCGCATTGGAAATATTTGTGCAGGAAAAAAAAAAGGGGAGAGACGCAAGGCCCCTGGTTTTCCTGCCCTGTCAAACACAATTTTATTAATGAAAAAGGTGTCTTCAAGAAGGTGTGAGCTTGATGCTCAGGGTTGGATTGGCATTGTACTAATCTGTCACGGGTTGTATACCGATACAAATTCTTTACTTATGTTTAGAATTTTGAAGACAACATAAACAATCATTTGTTGCATATAGTATGTCTCACACACTGGCGTAGCACAAGAGTTTCCTACAAATATGGCAGAAACACAATTCGTCTTGTTGTGGGAAGTGAACTCTGTGCTAATGAAGAGAAGCAAAGTAGCAGAGAATAAAACTTTCCATCAAATTGTGTTTGGAGAGGGGATTCACTTCAAAGGGATCTTAACAACAGTGCTGTCTGTCTAATTTACGTTTTCAAGCACACGCCAAACGTAAAAACCTCAATTTTGAGGAGTGTATAATTACAGAGTGAGAATGAATGACTATAAATAACCCCATCATTTCTAGTCCCCCACCCCACCCCACCCCCTGAAGAACATGATCCATACTGAAGGATAATTAAGGCAAAAATATTTCTGATCCTCCAACGGTCTGTAGGAAGAATGTCTGCGTGCGTACTTCTGTGTGCCGAGTATGGCCAAGCGCTCGTGTGTGTGTGTTTGAAATGCAGAGAGAGAAAGTGTGGGGGTGTGCGCGAGGAGAGAAGGGAAATTGGAGGCATTCTTCCCTAAAAATAGTGCCGTTGTTGAAGAACCCCTATGTATGGGTACTTCAAGAGAAGACAGACCTTCTTTAATTGGTTTGTGGAGTCATTAATGGAACAGAAGCACATCTCGAGAACAAGTGTGTGTATCTGAGCAAGAACACTTCCGTGTGTGTTTCAGACCCTGTTGATACCCTTTAAATAACAACAGACACATGGAAACAACTTTGATGGACAAACTTGTAGCAAACCAGGAGATAAAACCTCTCTGTGTAGCTGAGGTTTCCTTAAAATAGACTATTTCAACCAGGATATATCATATATAAAGATGATATTTCTAGATTAAGCCAGCTAATTAGTGCCCCAATATTGGGCATGGTGCTTTGAGTAAGATCCAAATAAGCATATTGTCCTCTTAGCAGTGGAATGCAAAAGGATTTCTGTGTTCCTCGCTCAGAGTCAGAGAGGACGTTCAACTGAAACGCAAAAAAACTTTGCTTGCCTACCCTCCCGGCTTCACTTTGTTATCACTTTCTCTGTTTCTTGCCAGATCAAAACATAAGAATGTTGCTTTGAGTGACCAAATGAAAGCGAAGCAGTCAAATGAGTACGAGTCCATGTTTATTTCTAGTACATCTAGAAGCCAGGCCAGTTTCTCTTTTTTTTTCTTCTTTTTTTTTTCGTGTATGTGTGTGTGTCAGCCAGGGTTTGCATGGGTTGTTGAGTTGTCGTGAGTTGCTGCTTAACCGGCAGTGCGTCAGTCAGCCAGCCAGCCAGCCAGTTGTCAGGCAACTACTAGTTCCTTGTTGCTATTTGTGTTTGAGTGTAGCCATGCCGAGAGCCTCCCTCCCCTTCGTTCTGCCTTTCCCAACCTCTTCCTGTGGCAAGAACCGTGTCTTACAGCAGTCTGCCGCTCCAAAAACGAAAACCCTATGACCAAGGCATTGGTTCCTTTTACTGCCATTGTGTTGCTGAAACAAGGCCCAGCGCTAAAGTCGTCAGTTATACACGGCGTCTCGGGTAGGGAAGGTGGCCCCACTGTGGCTGCTGCTGCTTCTGGGCTCCAGTGACTTGTTGTTGCTTGTTGTTGTGTGTTTCTCCCATCTGAGGCTGGGGTGGGGGGGGGGGGCAGCCCGGGATGGCTTTTGTGTCACTGCTCGACCAGCGTCGCACTCATGAGGCTAGATAAATGGATTAAAAGGGGCACAGATATGGGCGGGCATGTTTGAGAAAAGACAACGGAGATGTTGAGGGGAAGCGGAGCATTGAAAGAGGAGGGCGAAAGGATGGGAAGAGGCAAAGACATTTGTGTTGTTGGACAACAAGGGGGTCGAGTCTGCTGTAAGAAAAGCCCGCTTCTGCCAAAAAAGACAAGACAGTGATAAACTTTCCTCCCCATGCAGTCACCTCTCTTTCCCCCTCACTCTTCCTGTTACACATGCACACACACCAAGTGCCACAATGCACAATTCAGCACTAAAATGAATGGATTGCCACAGCGTGACACGTCTCAGTTGCAGGGGGAGATGGTTCTTGTTCACCAACAAAAGACCGAGGCATTATGGGGAACCGAGCCTTTGACAGAATGCTAAATTGTTTTGGGGTCAACAACTTATTGTCTTTGCATGAGCCACAATTTACATATCTCCAAAGTGGCTTCAGCAGTTTGTACACAGAAAATAGTTACAGTTCTTTAAGTCTTTGAAAAAGGGACTTACAAAGTTTCTGATAGCACTTTTACATGTCATATTCTGTTCTTAAAAAATAGCTGGATTCACTTTAATTTAAATAATGGAAAAGCAAATTTAATTTAACTTTAATTCAATATGGACAAGTGAGTGAATTGTAATTATAATTACATGATCACTATCACTATTATGTTATATTCCACAACGAGCATAAGTAAGTTAGAACACAAAGAACACTAGTGACTATGTTTTAAATTGGGCATTATTGTGTTGTTGTCCTGTTTAATCCCATAGAGCTTCATTTCCCTCCACTATATTACATTTACATTTTTCTCATTTGTGCTTTGAAAATGTTCATTATATGTATCTTCTTTTTCTTTGCCTACATCTTGGCCAACAGTATCGGGGGGGGAGAAATGGCTAGAAGTGACAGCCTAATTATCAGCTTCCACTCCGCTCATTACCCATTAGACAATCCACTGTACAGCCACTTACTAAATGAATAATTTTGTATATATTATGGAAACACAATATTATGGCCTGAAGCTAACGCCTTTGCTCTAACCTCACGCTGTTCCAGTACAAAAGGAATAAATGGGACACCGAGAGGTTATTTAATTTTAGCCCTAAAAGCCAGCTCGTGAGAGGATGTCATGTGCAGGAGGGAGGGAGGCCGCAATGAAATTTACACAAACGCCTTTTTCCCGTCGCTACATTAGAATCATTTTGGCCCCACACATGATGTAGCACAGGAGAAATTGACTGCGGGGACTCAGTTCTTCCTCCACGTCCATTAATGTTGCTGTAATTTCGACACTGATCCAGTGCGCGAGGCTGGAATGTTTTACACATTTCCATGCCACCTGGGTAAGGCGTTGGAACAAAATAAAGAAAACACAAAAAATAAAGACAGTTCGGTACACTAAAGCATAATTCTGTTGTTGTCAAAGTTGCGTTTTTGAGCCTAAAAAAGCGCACTGAGCCCCATTAAGATTTCAAAAACTCCTTTATGGCCTTTAATAATGTTTTAAAGTGGAAGATTGACTGTTAAATGCTTAAAAAAGACAGAAACAAAATAGCGTAGACTTAAGCACGAATATTTTTACATAAACGCACATGCCTGCGTAGTTATTTGATCGTCGTAATGATAATAATTATCATCTCAGAAAAAACAATTAGTTTTTTAATATTTCTATGAGATTGGGAACATTGTGAGAATATTGAAGCTGTGCTTTTTTAATTTTTCACATACGTTTCAACTGAAATATGTAACACAAATTATTTTTAAAAAACAATCTGTATATATGAATGTATATATAGCAGATTTAGGCTTAATTAAGTGAAAACTTAAACTATAAATCTTTTTTTTTTTTAAGTAACGCTCAAGCGTCATGTGACAGTAAAAACAAAATCGATGTTTGATTAGTTTGTCTCTCGCCTATAGAGGTCGCTGTGATCCAGCAAAACAGATTAACTCACACTCCACAGGTTCAGGAGACTTTGCTTATTGTCATTTGTGAGATTGTTCGAACCCAATCAGCTAATTTTGTCTCTAAATCCCACACAGACCTGTGTCATTTCTTTCTTCTATGATGGGCCAGTATTTTTCCTACACGTGACAGGACGTTTCAAACAAACATGTTGGACACATTGTAAATATGGACAGAACATTACAGATCCTCCCATCAAGTAAATATATGTATTGTTTAAAAAAACAAAAAAAAACTAACTTTGCTGCCCTAGTAGTTGTACTCGTGGAAACAGCTGACGTGACAATAAATTTTAAAAACACAATTCTCATCCACCAATCATAACTAATCTTTTTCTACTTCCCTCTTATTGTCTTTAAATCCCACCAGGCTTCTTGTGGTAAATCAATATTTGCTTTTGGTGGCCAATTGAGGAGCAAACAAAAAAAAGCTGCTTTTATAGGCTAATGACCACTATCAGCCTAAGAACAGACAACCCCCCCCCTAAAAAAAAAAAAAAAAAGCACCCGCACTCAACAAGGCCCCACAGTGTCAGCGTCCTCTTCTATTCCACCCCACGAAAAAAGAAAATATTAATAATTTATCTACGAATCGAATTCTCCCCCTGACAGATTAGATTTTAACCATTTGATTTTGTTTGGACTGGGCGTTCCCATATTATTACTTAATGACCTTCCCAGCTGCTCCTGTCCATTTTCTGTCACCAGCAACCATCTGGACACTTATTAGCACCTCAATGCATCCACGCTGCTTTCCTCCCAAACTTGAATAAAATTAAGCCCGCTTGCTTGCAGAGTGCCAATATTTTTTTGTTCTCCTGTTCCCACCCCGTTTTTGAGTCAAATTAGGAATAATTTTAAAGATAACAAATAAGTCTGCCAATAATAATAATGGTCATAATGAGAAGAAAATAAATAAATGCAAGCTAAGGATCATGAGATTCTCTATAATTTCATTTAGTTTATTAGGCAAAATATACGATCTGGACAAATTCCTTCAACGTTTCCTATTTACAAATTTAAACCACTTGGTATTTACATTAAAGAAATGACACCAAAAACACATGATAGAGACTAATAATAATAATAATAATAATAATAATAATAATAATAATAATAATAATAATAATAATAA